CTGACTGCCACCCACACGACCCCAACCAGGGCCAGACACAAACTGCATCCAAGGTACATGCCCTTAGCGGGAACTGAACCGGGACTCTGGTCTGCAGGCTGATGCTCTGACTGCTGAGCCAAACTGGTCAGGGCCATGTTTTACTTTAAAACAAATTTATTTTTTCTTTATTGGTATTAGCGAGAGAGAAGGGAGAGAGAGAGAGAGAGAGACATCAATGAGAGAGATCATTGATTGACAACCTCTAGCATGCCCCTCACTGGGGATTGGGCCCACAACCTGGGCATGTACCCTGACCAGGAATCAAACTGGCGACTTCCCAGTGCATGGGTCTATGCTCAACCACTGAGCCACTCCGGCTGGGACATGTTTTACTTTTTTTAAAATACTTTTTTCTTATTGATTTTAGACAGAGAGGAAGAGAGAGGGGGAGAGAGAGAGAGAAACAATGATGAGAAAGAACATAGACTGGCCGCCTCCTGCATGCTCCCCACTGGGGATCGGGCCCACAACCTGGGCATGTGCCCTGACCGGGAATAGAACTGGTGATCTCTTGGTGCATGGGTCAGTGCTCAACCACTGAGCCACACCAGCCAGGTGACATGTTTTACTTTTAAGGAAAATAAAAATCAATTGAATATAATTTGTACAAGAAATACATGCACTCTTGAAAGAGAAATGCCAGTCCTGACCAGGTGACTAGTTGCTTAGAGCATTGTCCAGATACACCAAGGTTTTGGTGCGATCCCCAGTCAGGGCACATACAAGAATAAACCAATGAATGCATAAATAAATGCAACAACAAATCAATGTTTCTCTCTCTCTCTCTCTCTCTTTCTCTCCTTTCTTCCTCTCTTCTAAAATCAATTAAAAATTTAGAGAGAGAGAGGGAGAGAAATACCAGGTTAGACATAGTCAATGATGTTGCATTGGTAAAATTCAGATTAACCATTCTTAGAGTATTAAAAATAATTTCTAGCCTGGCTGGTGTGGTTCAGTGGATTGGGCATTGTCTCAGGGACTGAAAGGTCCTGGTTCCATTTGCAGTCAGGGCACATGCCTGGGTTGGGGCTCCATCCCCAGTAGTGGGGGTGCAGGAGGCAGCCAATGGCTGTGTCTCTCTCACATCAATGTTGTTGTTTTTTTTTTGGTACATGCCTCTAGCAGGAACTGAACCCTGGACTCTCTGGTCCACAGGCCAACTCTCCAACTGCTGAGCCAAACCAGCCAGGGCTCATATCAATGTTTCTCTCTCTCTTCTTTCCTGTCTCTCTAAAAAAATCAATAAAAACATAAAAAATAAAATTTATAATCATTGGCAGACTTTCAAAAGAGAAAGGTTGATGAGCTTGATTAGTTTGAACTCTATAGGGGCAGTGTAAAATAACACATTAGAGACAGCCACCTGCCTAGTTAACATTTTTACAGATGTCCATAAGACCCTGGCCATCTCCATTAAATTTAGTCTTGAGGGCAGGAACTACAATTTGGCCTATCTCTTCACTGGGTGACCCATAGTAAGCACTCAAGGGTATAATAAAATGGGTACAGGTGCACTGAGAACATGAAAAAATTAGGTGAGGTAGATAGCAGTTAACAACCTGGGGTTTGAAATCAGAAAGAATTGAGTTCCTTTCCTGTCACTGATTTAGCTGTATCACTACAGACAATATACTTACTTGGACTGTTTATCGATACAATAATGAGAAATAATAGTTCCTACTTCAGAGAGTTGTTCTGAAAATTAAATGAGATGATGCACAGAGAAGCTTTCATAGGCTCTGACACATAGTAAGTAGCACTAAATAAATGGTAACTATAACTATTACCTAATGAAGACTGTTGAATTTCTTTCATCAACCCTAATGGCTGTTAATATAAATATTGTTTAGATAGTTATTAATGATAAAGAAAAGGAGAAGAAATTATCATTTTTGGCCTACTATGTGCCAAGTACTTTATACATGTTATTTTAATCCTCACAATAATAGTAATCATTATCTCCCTTTTTACAGGTAAGGAAACCAATGTTGAGAGAGGTTAAGTAATTTCCTTCAGGTACTCATATATTTATTCAGTGACTACTTTGTGTAAAGCTCTGTTCAAGACACTGGGAAAACAACACTGAACAAGATAATCAGGTCCCTGAAAAAACTTACATTCTAGCAAGGTAGATAGACAATATACTGGTAATGTAATTACCGATTGTAGTGTTATAAAGAAAATAAACAGGGTCCTGAGACAAAATTATACAAGAAATGTGTTTTAGATAGGAAGGTGGTTAGAAAAGACCTTTTTAAAGAGAAAAATACCTCTTAAAGAAAATACCTTTTTTGTTAATCCTCACCCAAGGAGATCCCCTCCCTTTTTTTTTTCATTTTTGCTTTTAGAGGGAGAGAGGGAGGGGGGAAAGGGGAGGGGGACGGAGAGGGAGAGAAATAGAAACACCCAAGAGAAACAACATCATTGGCCTCCTTCCTGCATGCCACTACTGGGGACTGGGCCCACAACCCGGGTATGTGCCCTGACTGGGAATTGCACTGGTGACCTCTTGGTGCATGGGTTGACGCTCAACCACTGAGCCACACTAGCTGGGCTATTTTTAAGAGAGAGTATGAGGGAGGGAGAAATATCTCACATCAGTTGGTTGCCTCCCTCACCACGCTGGGGCCAGGAATTAAACCCACGACCTTTTGGTCCTCTGGCTGATGCTCTAATCATTGATCCACACCAGCCAGGGCAAGAAAATACCTTTTTATTTTTAAATATGTTTTATTGATTTTTTTAGAGATTGGAAGGGAGAGGGAGAGAGAGATATAAACATTGATGAGAGAGAAATATCCATTGGCTGCCTCCTTCACGCCCCCTACTAGGGATTTAGCAGGCACCCCCCCCCATGTGCCCTGACCATTAATCAAACAGGGACCTCTCAGACCATGGGAGGACACTCAATCCAACGAGCCACAGCTGCCGGGCAAGGAAATACCCTTTTAAAGAGTTGAGATTTGAAGGATGAGAATGGGTGGGTAAGCCATGTAAGGAAGCAAACTAGAAAATTCAATGCAGCAGGCACAGCAGTGAGCTTATCTCTGGAACAAGATGGCGAGCTGTGAGGGTATTGTCCATAATTGATGTTGGTACAGACAGAGGCTAATGAAGGCTTTACAGGACAGTGAGAAGCTACTGTTTTGTTTCGTGTTTTTTTTTAATCCTCACCTGAGGACATTTTTTGATATTTTGTTCAGATAGAGTGGGAGGGGGGGAGAGAGAGAGAGAGGGAAACATCGAAAGGGACACATCGAGTAGTTGCCACCCGCACAACCCAACCAGGGCAGGGGACACACTGCAACTGAGGTACATGCCCTTAATGAGAATCGAACCCCGGTCTCTCTGGACCACAGTCTGACGCTCTAACCGCTGAGCCAAACCAGCCAGAGTGAGAAGCTACTGTTAAAAAGTAGATTAAGGACATGATCTGTTTTGTTTTGTTTTTGTTTTTAAAGATCCTTCCCTTTGCGGAGTGAATGCAGTGGGAGAGGAGAAAAGGTCACAAATATGGAGACCTATTAAGGAGGTTAAGAACAGTTGTTCAGGAAAGAGAAAAGAGATCTGAACTACAGTGGTGGTCAGATGTGATCAAACCAACGGACTACACTGGACATGGAGGACAAAGGTCTGGTTAGCGCCATTTGTCTAGATGAGAAAGATGAGGGTGGAGGTAAGAAGGATAAAGAATTCCGCTTTGGATAGTTCCATTGTTTGAGATGCTAGTGAGCCTTCTAAGAGGAGGTATCAATAGACATCTGACTAGACAGAATCTCCACTGACCAGTAATCGAGGCTTTAGATGTAGATGAATCTTGGAATACAGGGGCCTGAGAGCTTTCCACTCCATCTGGCCATTAATTTAATAAACTAAAATGATATCTAGATTCCTGTGTGCTAAGCGTAGCCCAGAAGCGCAGCTTGCATAGCTGAATGTGGCGAAGGCCCATAATTCAGTACTTCAGAGACTGGGGCGCACACTCAAAAGGGTGGAATCACCCCAAGCAAGCAAAGGCGCCCCTAGTGCGCATGCGGAAAGCCAGAGGTCACTGAGCGTAGGCGCGATCCAGCGAGCACTGCCTGCTGGGATTTGTAGGCTGACTCCGGCGGACGTTTGCGCGACCTGGTTTAGACGCCCCCTGGATGCTGCGCCAGGTACTTGGAGGGAACCGCACTCAGAGCCTGCGTCAGTCACTGCAAAACCGTTGTCTCAAAGCGTAAATCTGATCTTCCTTTCATGCTTGGAATCATTTAGCAATGGTGATGACTTCTCATCAGTTAAAGGATAAATTCAGAGTCCTAAAAATGACATTGAATGTCCCTTTCATCACAAGTTGATACTCGTGGTAGCCTTATCTCTTAACACTTCCTAATTCTTCTTCAGGACTATACTGAACGCTGCCTCCGACATAGGGGCTCTCTTTGGACCTCTCTCCTCTGTGCTTCCATAGCACCCTCTAACAATTCTTTAATAATAATTATAATCATGTCCAGTCTTCCTGAGCGCTTACTACATGTTCTAATCTAAAATATTTTATCCGTGTTAGCTCACTAATCCTCGCACAGCTTTCTGAAACAGTTGCTGTTATTTTCATTTTGCAGACGAGGAAATTTTGGTTTAGAGATGTTATGTAATTTGAGCAAGGTCGCACTGAAGTATCACAGTGTTTACTCCTGTGTGTCTCCCATTGGACTACGAGTTCCAGCCCATTACGCACGTACCAGCTTTTTACTTTCCCGCGGACCACGCCCCGAGGGCGGGGTTCTGGTGACGACAGCGCCGTCCCATGGTGCCTTGCGCGCCCGCTCTGCAATTGGCCGGGGGACTAGCCTCTTTTTTCAAATTGAGGCGCCGAGTCGTTTCTCCGTTTTCTGGGCGTTTGGCGGACCGGAGGTTTATGATTCGACAGCTCCGGCTGGTGCGGGACTGACGCCGCGGCCAGTCAGAACCCGTAGTGGAGAGCGGGTCCGCCGAACTGATTCCGTCGATTTTCCCTGCCAAGCCAGCACCCGGCTGGGGAGGAGCGCATCCCAGCCCGCGCCAGTACCAGGCCTTTTTTCGAGGGTTCCGTCATGGCGTCCCAGCCGAATTCCTCCACGAAGAAGAAAGAGGAGAAGGGGAAGAACATCCAGGTGGTGGTGAGATGCAGGTAGGGCGAACCTGGTGGGATTCGGAGCGCCAGGATTTGCTGCTGGGCTCCCTCCTGCGCGCGGTCGGAGAGGGATTTTGCTTGTAATTTTTGAAGAGACCAAACTTTTCAGTTTAATAGTCCCCCGCATTCTGTTGAATAAAATGACAACACGTTGCTGTGAGGGGTAAATTAGTGTCTTTTTTTTTTAGAAGAAAGCATATGTGGGGGCGCAAGAAAAATTTTCCTTTCACTATCTAAATTTTCCTGTTTAAGCTAATAAATTAACAGGAGACAGATTAGCAGGGGAGAATGTCCAAAATTTATTATGGAAGTACATACAGGGATGCCATAAGAATATGAGACCCCAAGACGCATTGGGCATTTACTGTTTAATGTGCCATTTTGGACAAAGGAGAAGGGGAGTGGCAGGGGCCTGGGATTTCAAAGGTAAAGAGGCAATTTACAGGTAGAGGAAAAAGTAAATTCTTTCTGGACTACCCAGAAATAATGGTAGTTCAACCACAAGGAAGTTCAACAAACTGGCTTTGCTAAAGTGTTTTTGCTACATTTAGTTGTCTATTATAGTGCTAAGGCGACGCTCCCTTCCTTTAAGCATGTTTTTGTATCTGAATTCTTTTAGGTAAGGGGAAGGGTCAAAAGTTTTTTTCTGAGTCAAACTGCTATATTCAGAAGGAAAATTTGATGGCTGTTCTTTAGTGAAAAGTGCATTCTTTTTTAAAAGTAATCCCGACAAAAATTTAGGTGTTACTTTTTTGTTGTTATTCATCCTCACCCAAGGGTATTTATCTTTTTTTTTTTTTTTTTTTTTTAGAGAGAGTGGGAGGGAGGGGGAGAGAGAGAAACAGAAACATCGGTGTGAGAGAACAAACACATCATTGGTTGCCTTTGCACGCCCTGACCAGGGGCTGGGGATGGAACCTGCAACCTAGGTACATGCCCTTGACCGGGAGTTGGACCCGAGGACCAAACCAGTAGACGCTCTAACCACTGAGACACATAGGCCAGGACTAGGTGTTACTTTTATATACCACTCCTTGCACTTTGTTAGTTTGTAAATAAAACTGCATACCCATTTTGCAAATGTTTTAGCACTTAGATTGGAATTACCATCCTCTTCATCACCTCTAAAAACGTTATCACCTGTTTATTCTAGATGCACTATTTTCTTAATTCATTCTACACAAGTAAACATCACTGTGTTTAAATTTTAAAAATTAAGTTACACAGTGAGTTTGTTTTTTTTTAGGTTTTTTTTTTCCTTTATTGATTTTAGAGAGAGAGGAAGAAAGATATGGAAATATCGATGAGAGAGAATACCAACTGGCTGTCTCCTGCATGCCCCTCACTGGGGATTGGGCCCACAACCTGGGCATGTGCCCTGACCAGGAATAGAACTGGTGACCTCTTGGTTCGTGGGTAGATGCTCAACCACTGAGCCATACTGGCCGGGCGAGTTTATGTTTTTAAAAGATCAAGGAGACTACTTAAACCGGTATAGCCTTCTGGTTGTACTGCAACTTGGTCTCCCCTAGAACAAAGGAGACAGTTTTCTCTAGGTGGGTGGGTGGCGGTCTTCAACTTTCCCCTGATTGATTTTCAAATAATTTCTGTTTTAAAATAGGAAGAACATACATGTACAAACTATTGCTTAATTAGAGGATGCTTTATTTCACTTTTTAGAGGCATTCCACAGTTTAGTGGTGAATGTGTGTTTTGCTTGTCTCTTCGTCGCTGTTGTTTTTTTAAATCCTCACTCAATGATATTTCCCATTTATCTTCAGACAGAGTGGGAGGGAGGGAGGGAGATAAAGAGGGAGGGAGGAAAACATCTATGTGAACTGGTTGCCTCCTGCACAACCCTGACCAGGGCCAGGGACGAACCACAACTGATGTACGTGCCCTTGGACGGAATCGAACCTGGGACTCTTTAATCCGCAGGCCTACGCTCTGACCACTGAGCCAAACTGGTCAGGGCTTTGTTGCTGTTGTTTTATTTTTTAATCCTCGCCTGAGGACATTTTTCCATTTTTTATTCAGATAGTGTGGGAGGGGGAGAGAAGGAGAGAGAGAGAGAGAAACATCGATGTGAAAGGGACACATCGAGTGGCTGCCACCCGCACGACCCAACCAGGGCCAGGGACATACTGCAACTGAGGTACATGCCCTTAGCGGGAACCAAACCCAGGTCTCTCTGGACCACAGGCTGATGCTTTAACCACTGAACCAAACCAGCCAGGGCTGTTGCTGTTGTTTTAAAAACACTATCAGCTATCAGCAACTTTTCTGTAAATCCAAAAGTATTCTAAAATTAAAATGTTATTTTAAAAATATGTCAATGGCCCTGGTCAGTTTGACTCAGGGGTTAGAGCGGCAGTCTGTGGACAAGGGTCTCAGGTTCGATTCAGGTCAAGGGCATGTACCTGGGTTGTGGTTCAGTCCCCTGGCTGGGGGAGTGCTGGAGGCAACCAATAGATGGGTCTCACTGACATGGATGTCCCCTCCCCCCCCTCCGCCCCCTTTGTCTGAAGATAAATGGAAAAATATCCTAGAGTGAGGATTAAGAAAAAAAAGTGTCAATGAACTTTCTTAAGTTATTATTTAGTCAGTTTTGGTAACTTAACTGTAGATATCAAAGGCAGTAGCTAGCTTTTTAAACTAGGTGCCTGAGAGGAAATGGTAACCTTATGTCTAGTTAATTACTAGTTGCATTCTAGAGCTTCTGTTGCTTGTTCTGAAGGTTTAAAAAAAATCAACAGCCTGTATTACAAATGCAGATTTTTAGAGTATTTCGATTGGTTAATAAAGCCAGGCAATATTACATTTCTGTGTGGTTTTATTTTCTTTATATTTCTTGTTACAAAATATGTCAAGCCTATAAAAAGTTATGGAGAAGAATGTAACAGACATCTGTATATCCATCTCCCAGATTAGAAACAAAATAGTCATTAACAGCTGGAGCCCTAGTGTATTCCTCCCCAAGTCCCAACCTTCTTCTTCTACCACAAGAATTAAACATTTCCCTGAACTTCATCCCCATAAATTTCAAGCTTTAGCTTAGAGAGGTTTGTTTTTTGTTTGTTTGTTTTAATGTTGTTTATTAGCACAATAACAAATGCAGACTTAAGTGGTCTGCAACATATAACATCCATTGAGCAACTCCTATTCCACACCTTATAGTTAACAGCTTAAGGTATTTTACTACAGGTTTTCAGGAGTCCTGATTCAAACCTCTAATCTTTTCACAATAAGGTAGATTGGCATATAAAATAAAATATATAACTACTCATTTCCTATATGGTGTCTTATAGCCACATGTCCATTTAATATATGTGAGATGACAGTCTCTAAAAATGGTTAAATATCAATGTTCCCTTCCAAGAAGGGAAAACAAGTTTCTTTTTTAAAATTTTTATTTTATTTTATTTTTTATTCCCTACCTGAGGATACTTTTCTATTTATCATCAGATAGAGTGGGAGGTAGGGAGAGAGTGAGACAAACAGACAGACAGAGAAACATCAATGTGATAGAGCCGCATCGACTGGTTGCCTCCTGCATGCCTTCTGGCCCTCGAGGATGAACAGCAACCGAGGTAGGTACCCTTGGTGGGAACTGAACCCACGACTCATTGGTCCTCCGGCTGATGCTGTAACCGCTGAGCCAAACCGGCCAGGGCAAGTTTCATTTTTTTAAAACAAAAAAGTATATAGTCTTGGAAGGACTTCACATAAAAGGCCATGTGTGTAACCTGTACAAAATTAAACTTTTAAATTTACAGACTACAAGCAACTGAATCCAAATATCTATTCTCTGCACTACATTTCAGTTTAAATTGCAGAACGAATGACAATTTTAAATGTTGCTATTATCAATTCTGTCTACTGTAGCAAGATACCTTAAGTTACAACAAAATCTTAGGAAATAAGACTGAATAAGATCTGTTATAGAAATACTCTACTCTTTACCAACTTCCATTCTCCCCCCACCCCTTCAGTATCTTATAAGCAGCTCTCTCTGTGACAAATAATATAAGAATTGTGAAAACCCAATTTATGTAGCGTATCTCTTGGTCCACTGCCTGACCATTCTGTCACGTTCTGCTATGTTTATCAAATACTGAGTGGTAATATTTCCCACCAAGGGGTCAGCAGGATTACAGTTTGTAAGAAGTGAGCTGATAGAAAGGAGGACTTTAGAAATCATGAGTACTGAACTCCAATGATCTTTCAATATGTCCATTCAAATAACACCTTGACTGTTATTACTACAGTGATAGATTGTCAGAAATGTAACCTTTTTGCCATTGGCCGGTTTGGCTCGGCGGTTAGAGCGTTGGCCTGTGGTCCAGAGAGACCCGGGCTCAGTTCCTGCTAAGGGTACATGCCTCAGTTGCAGTTTGTCCCCGGCCCTGGTTGGTCATGCGGGTGGCAACCACTCCATGTGTCCCTTTCACGTCGATGTTTCTCTTTCTTCCTCTCTCCCTCTCACTCTATCTGAACAAAAAAATGGAAAATGTCCTGGGGTGAGGATTAAAAAAAAGAAAAAGAAATGTAACCTTTGGAGGTTTGAAGGGGTATTCTGGTGTAAAAGTGATATCAAGGAAGAATATACCACCCTCATATATGGATCCTTGTGACCCTAGAATGGTTGATCTCCATTCATAGATGTTATCGCCTTTAGGACCAGCCCTGCAGTTAGGTGCAGGGTCTCAAGTGATATTTGCCAGTTCCTTCTGAATCCTCTTGATTCTGGTGGAGAAGAGTTTGGAATTTTTGCTCATCCTGACTTTACTCTCCTTGGGAGTGTTTATTTCATTCTCAAGTTGCTGGTTGGAGGACAAAGGTGAGGAAGAGCCGGTGCTGGTCCTCGAATCATCATCTGACATAGGAAACTCCCAACTCACCCCACAAACAGCCCCTTTCTTTGTATCTGGCTCCTCTGTGCCATGATGGTGGCTGCTTTTATACATTCTTATTTATAATAGCTAGAAAGTGGAAAC